GAATCTACTGGCATCCATGTTCATTCATACACTCTAAAGTTGTATAGTTTTTCCTAAGCATTGTCCAAACCTTGTGTCCAGCTTAATGGACATGGAATACTGGAATGCTGACACCTTATTCATTTAACCAGTTCTTATTATGTCCTGATTCTTTTATTCACTAATCAAGATCATATACCACTGCAAGGAGGGATTCAAGTTAAGGAAGTAGTGGGGAAAAGGCTGAAATAGCCCAATAATGCTTGAACATGCTTTTTAATATAAATTTTTATTGAAAGTTACAAAAATCATGAAAATTAACTTGAACGAATAAAAAGTTAAGGTAGAATAAAAAGCAGAAGAAAGCAAAAAGCAAAAGCACAAAAGAAATACAAATAAATAGGAAGAAGCTTCCAAACTCTTTGCAGAAAATAAAAGTACAATTACATAGTAATCCTATATTATGATTACAAAAGAAAGCTTATTTTTCTATTGTCCAGTTTTTTTCTAATCATCAAGAGTGGTGCAGTGGTTAGAATCCAGTATTGCAGGCTAACCCACTGCCCATTGCCAGGAGTTCAATCCTGATAGGCTCAAGGTTGACTCAGCTTTCCATCCTTTCTAGGTCGGTAAAATGAGGATCCAGATTGTTGGGTGCAATAGGCTGATTCTGTAAAATGCTTAGAGACGGCTGTAATGCACTGTGAAGCAGTATATAAGTCTAAGTGCTATTGCTATTGTTATCAAAACCACAAATGATAACTACATTTTTTTCTGTTTTATGCAAAAGGTCCATAATGGGGTTTCCAGTTAACCATGAATGTAGATAATGTTTTTTTTTCTCTATCCAAAAAGGTTAATTTAGCCATCTCCACAAGGTCCACAATCTACACCAACTATTGCTTTGTTGTGAGTAGTAACAAAGCATTCCACTTTTATAACAGTTTCACTGCATAATGCTTGAGTATAGTCAACATTCATGGAACGTTGCATGTCAGTTAAAAATAAAAATGGGAAAAAGTGTAGATATGAATGAATGAATGACATGAATGGCATGAATCTCCATTTAAAGATCTATATCAATGGTTAAGGTTTATCAATGGTTATATCAATGGTTATATCAATGGTTAAGGTTTGCCATTCTGTGTACTATAAATGGAGCCTCTTGAATAGACAAAAATCCACAGATTACTCCAATATTGTTGAAAGGGGATGTTGATTATTTAAAAAAATACTTTTAGGTAATTATAAGGGCTTGTGAATGGCTATATTTCATCAGCTAAAGGTTTTGTACTTCCATGTCCACTGTTATTTTTTTATGAAACAAAATGGCTGGTTAAACTAGAAGCAGAAAGGTGCTGTGCCTTACCTTATTATAGATTGCAAGTCACTTATGCATATTAATCCCACTAGTTTCTGAACAGCATTTATATCAACTGAGCTGCGTGTCATATTTGTAAAATGAATATGGTCAAATATTTGGTTGATGTAATGCTGTGAAGCATTAAATATTAAAAGAATTCACATAGGGTACAATATAGTGGCAACTGGCAACTGACATTTTTACTTTCCCAATCTGCTAATTTGTTCCATTTTTCATTTGTTAAAAACAATTTGTCTGGACTTCCGGTTTGAGCTTCTTCAGCGACAGACCGAAGCCTCGTCTCTGTGAGGCTTCGATCTGTGCTCGCCGCTGGAGCGCCCCAAGCTGGCTGGTTTCGGGGCTAAGCCACCCCATAGAGGTGGTGAAGAGGGGGCAGACTGCCAGCAGGGTTGAGGAGAACTGCATCTCTCCTCCCCAGCTGGCCATTACTCCCTTTCCCGAAGGCGGTTGCAACAGTGGTCAGAAATGGCCACCACAAAGAAGAACTCGACCGGAAAAGAATGTGCAGGAGGAAGATAAGAAGAGAAAGTTTTGGTTGACCGGGTCAAACAGCAAAAGCAACAAATAAGGTACCGTGGAATTGAAACTGTTAAAAAACAATAACATTGTTCCCTAAGAAGATTTTTAAGCTGCGAAGGAGAGAGAAAAGGAAAAAGAATTGGTTTTCTCCTTTTCCTATACTGACAGCTAAGAGACTTAAGCAAGAAATTGGGAAAAAAATTAACTTTGACATCAATAGGCATTTAATGCTGAAAATAAAAAGTCAAAGGGATAATAAAGATTTCTGGATAATTAAAAGCTTTTGAAAACAGGAAAGGAGAGAAAAAGAATAAAAGGGCAGGATCTGGAAGGGAGGAGACTGCCTGGAATTAAAAAAAGAACTTACAGCAAAATCTCAACAAGACTTCCAAAAGATACATTCTAACTGAAATATCGCAACAAAAACCCCATGAAGAGAAAGTCGAAAAAGAAATAAGAAGATATAACTCGGGACTATCTGGATTACTTGATGATTTCTGGATTCTTGGTTATTGTTTTGAATGACTAAAATCAATCGGGTGGTTGTTTAAAACTGTTTAAAATGGCTCCACTTTTAGAAGAACTGAAAATGGAACTTAAAAAGTACAAAGAAGATGCAGAAGAAGGGAGAGGTTCTTTTGGCTTCGTATTTCAGTTTTTAGAAATGGAGATTTGGAATTATGAGAAACAACAAGAAACGCCTGCAGAACAAGAAGATTGCGACAAAGAAGAAGCCATCTTTAATGAACAAGTAATCTTAGATGGGGGAAAAAAAGGAAAGGGGGGAAAGAGAATGGAAAGTTTAAGATTGGGAAAAACAACTCTCCCCCCCCCCCAAAAAAAATACAGTAAAAAATAAGTATAAAATCAGAAAGCAACAGAAGAGGGAAATGCAGAAGAGAGAATTAGAACTAGAGAGACAAGGGGGTAAAAAGGGGAGGGAGAAGATGAGAGGAAAGAAAGAAAGGAAAAGAAGTTATAAAGGACAGAAGCAAAATATAGAGAAACAGGGCCTATTTAGAGATAATGGGTGAAAACTTAATGGAAAAGGGATTCTGCAAAGGGACATAAGATGGTATAGTTATATGAGAAACAGAAATAATTTTAGAAAATATGAAACAATGTATGATTAAAATGTCTGATAAAATAGCTATCGTAATTCAGTGGAATGCTTGTCAATAAATAAATGTAACAAAAGGTATAAGTAATGATTTATAAAACATATGTGAAGAGAAATAAGGAAAAATTAATTATGGAGATTATATGTGTTTTTAAGGAAGTATGATATTTAATTGAAAAGAAGTGTTAAAGATCTTAAGATTTTAATGATTATTAATGATAGAACTGAACTGGAATGGAATGATGACTTATAATTACATATATTTACAATCTTTTTTTAAAAAAAGAATATAGTGTGTATTATAAGAATGTACCAAGCAGAATTCAATTGGAAGTTATGTATTATGTATTATATTGAAGGTCATAAACTTAAGGTATGTATTGAAGTTTAAATAAGAGTTGAATGGATGTAATTAAAAGATATAAAGGTGTTATACTCCAGTTAGTAACTACAGGAAAAAATTTGTTTAATGAGAAAAGATAATATGAAATTGAAACAGAACAGACAAAAGTATAAATATAATGATTTGAATTGAGATGAGATAATTAAAATAAAATTGAGAAAATTAAAAGAGGGGAAAAACTATATAGAAAATGTAAAATAGTATAAGATATGGAATAGAATACAAAAAGGAGCATGAAATTGAGTTTTGTGTCTGTATAAAGAAGTTCAACCCAGGACCATGCTATTTTCAAAAAAGATGTTTTACTTGTATTTTGTATGTGTGAAAACCCAAATAAAACTTTATTTAAAAAAAAAAAAACAATTTGTCTTACTGAGGTTTCATTATGTAGTAATTGGAACTTTTAGAACTATTCCTTCAATAATATAGTTGCATGAAAAGATTCAGTATTAAACAACTTGTTCATGGCTTGCTGGCGTTACCTTTTTCTAACCAAAGAAATATGGGTGTTTCCCTAAAGAGAAATTTTGGGTACTGAATAAGAAATTAGATTTTCCTCCAAACAAAAAAATACAAACAAACCCCCAAGAATATTTAGAAACTCTATGTCTTTAATTCCTACTTTACATACCTTGAACATCAACAGGACCTGGAATGAGATCAAAGCATTATAGCATCCTAATCTATGCATTCCTGACTGAGCTTAATAGTAACTGCACTGATTTTTTCAGCTATATAAATAATATACAAGCTTGGGAAAATAACTTAGCAATCTCTCCTATCTCATGATAAAAGCTAGAATGTAAAATATGTAGATAAATATCACCTGTTCTGCCTAAAGAAATCATCAGTCCAAAATTAAGACATATATTTTGCATAGCCATTAACTATACATCTTTTCCTTCAATATCCATCATGTCATCCTAAAGTCCTCCAAATTGGGTTATCTTTGTATTTCAACAATTCACACCAATTTCTCTTGCAGAAATACTGCTTTTTTATCTTTGGACATATTTGCTATTATGATCATATAAATAATTATTCAATATACTGCTTTCATGAATAAAAATGATTGGGCTGGTGGCGTCTCCTTTTCTTGCTTGAGTAGAATGACCTAAGCTTATTCTCTAAATAAGGGATTATGGTCCTGTAGCAGAAGGTTGTATAGGCAACAAAGAAAACATAATTCTGAATAGAAAATGGGTTTAAAATGTGTGTTTCACATTCACAGAAGTGATAATTAATTTTAAAACGATGAATAGAAATACTTTAATATACAGTTAATGAAACTAATAATTTCCACTAAGTAAAACATTTTTTATTTCTATTCCATTGTTGCTCTGAAAGAAGGACTGGATTATTCTCATTGTATAATACTGTATTCAAATACTATAGTTAATATTTAGTATTATAATTAATACTATGATTAATAAAATAAAACAAATATAAATGCAGTAGCACTGTTTAATCATAAAAACACCAATGCTATGTGGGCATATCGTGTACTAAGATTTGAGTGATGTACTACTTTTATGTCTTTGAATGATTTTGATCATGATCTTACTATACTTTCTCATTGTTTTCTTTCAATACAGGAGCGAATAACAGCATTTGAAACAGTAAGTTTTATTCTCATGAATTACTTTTAACTAAGGTTTTTCTTCATTTTGTTAAAAGATAATAAATGTTGAATATTAAAATAGTTTAACAAACTATCTATGGAGATTCTCAGTCATCCAGATCATGGTTTTACAAAATTGTGATCACCGTTTTATAAACTGTGAATCAATTTCTAAAAGGTGGTGTTATTGCCAATTGTGTGTGTATGCATGAGTGCACACATGCATGCATGCATACCTTCAGGTTACTGCTGATCCTAATGGTCACTGCTGGAGTAGTCCCTCAAATTTTCTTGACAAGATGTTGGAAGTGGTTTGCCATTGACTGCTTTCTAGGGCTGAGACAAAGGGACTGGCCCAAGGTCATATGACTGGTGTTGTGTCTAAGGTAAGACTAGAATTCATGGTCTTCTGGTTTCTAGCTTGTGCCTTAATCATTACACCAGATTGTGTCTTGCCAGTTACCTGTGATAAACGAAATAATATGTACAAAACCACATCCACACAAGATCACTTAATATGGAAGTACATTGGTGAAGTCATCCATACTTTAAAGGTCAATTAAATAAACTGTTTATACTTGAAAACGATGAGTATGCTTAGTTTTTAATATTCCTAGCAATTATATATATTGCCTTTGGGAAACTGAAGTTGTTGACCTAAGTAATTATACCAATTGGGGTATGAAAAACTTTATTTGGACATCCATTTTGGAGTTTGGCAATAGTAAATTACATTTTCCCTTCAAGACAGAGGTTCTTGCGTTCTTGCAGAAACAAGTGTGTCTATAATCTTGCTGTTACTTGCTATTCAGACTCTTGTATAAGACAAAATAGATATTGCTCATCTTTTTGTCTTCCCGAACAATGAGTAAAGTACATGTGTGCACATGTTTAATTTATAATGATACACTTATATTAGACATTTTTTAAAAAATAGAATTATTGGCAGGTTTATTACTACAATGCAGAGAAGACAGATTGAAATGGATCCAATAAATAATAAATTTAATTCATAAAATCTTGAAACTAAGATGCAGCCATTTCTTGCATTTCATTATTTAGAATAATAATACCGTAATAGTAGTGGTAGTAAATAGTAAAATTAGGAAAAAGGTAATTCTCGACTTACAACAGTTCACTTAATGACCATTCAAAGTTACAATGTCACTGAAAAACATGACTTATGACCATTTTTACACGTACAACCGTTGTGGCGATCTGATCAAAATTCAGATGCTTGGCAATTGACTTGTATTTATAACAATTGCAGTGTCCCAGGATCATGTCATCGCCTCTTGCAATATTTTGACAAGTAGAGTCAATGGGGGAACCTGATTCACTTAACAATTAATGTTACTAACTTAACAACTGCAGTGATTCACTTAACAACTATGGCAAGAAAAGTTGTAAAATGAGGCAAAAATCACTTAACAAATGTTTTACTTAGCAACAGAAATTTTGGGCCTAATTGCGCTCAGAAGTCAAGGACTATCTGTAGTAAAAATAATACAACAAATTACATTATTAACTTGCAATGACCTTGCAACAAATGTCAAAAATAATTTAAATGTTTCTTTCAATATTTAAAAAACAAGAAAGAATGAAACAATTGGTCTATTAAAGATGGCAAGGAAGTGCCAGGGAGGAAGTGGAAATATTTAATTTATTCTTTGCATTTATCTTCACACAAAAGGAAAAAATAGCTCAACTTATAAAAACCAGTACTGTAAAAGACAGATTGGAGAATGCAAGTCAAAATAGGCAAGAAAATGGTAAGAGAACACCTGTCCACTCCAGATGAGTTGCAATCACCATGTGCTGGATGGATGCATCCCACGGTTGGATTACATCTCAGGTTTCTGAAAGAAGTAGCAGACATGATCTCAGAATCACTGAACCATCTCTTTCAAAGATCCTGCAGCACTGGGGAGCTATTAGAGGACTGGAAAAGAGCTGACATGATTTCTACCTCCGGAAAAGGAAAAAAAAATGGATCCAGGAACTACAGACTAACAGCCAGACATCAATACCTGGCAAGATCCTGGAAAAAATAATCAAGCAATTAATCTGCAAACCCCTAGAGGCAAGCAAAGTTATAACCAAAAGCTAGCATGTGTTTGAGTACAACAGATCATACCAGACAAATTTTATTTCATTGTTTGACATAGCGACTACATTAGTGGACCAGCAAAATGCTGTTGACATAATTTACTTGGTCTTCAGTAAGGCATTTGATAAAGTAGACCACAACCTACTACTTGATAAGATAAAAAATGTGGGTTAGATAGCATCTCCATCAGATGGATTAGTATCAGGCTGACCAACCACACTCAATGTTCCTTAATGGAAGTGATTTGACATGGAGGGAAGTATGCAGTGGGGTATCGCAAGATTCTATCTTGGGCCCAATGCTCTTCAATATCTTCATAAACTTCAGTGAGGGAATAGAAAGGGAACACATCAAATTTGCAGAAACACCAAGTTGGCAGGAATAGGCAACACTCCATAAGCTCAAGATACAAAAGGATCTTGACAGAACGCTGGGCCCTATCTAACAAAATGAAATTCAGTGGTGCGAAAAGTAAGGTTTTAAACTTGGGCAAAAAGTACACAAGTATGGAGCCACAAGTGTCTGGCTCAGTACAAGTAACTAGGAGTCCTAGTGGACAACCACTTAAATATGAGCCAGCAGTGCGAGCCAATGCAGTCCTAAGCTACATTAACAGAGGGATATAATCATGATAATGTGAAGTTTTAGTACCACTTTAAAATGTCTTGATAACTTTTGGTTGCCACAATATAAAAAAAGATGATTAGGGAACTGAAGCTGTGAAGAATGGTTACAGGAATTGGATATGTCTGTCTAATGAAAAAAGGACTAGGGGTACATGATAACAGCGTTCCAGTATTTGAGGGGCAGCCACAAAGAAGGGGGAGTCAATCTATTCTACAAGGCACCTGAAAGCAGGACAAGAAGAAATGGATGGAAATTAATCGAGGAGAAAAGCAACCTAGAAATAAGGAGAAATTTCCTGACAGTTTGAACAATTAATCACTGGAACTTCTGCCTTCACTGCTCCATTGAAGAAGAGTTTGAAAAATCATTTGTCTGAAATTGCATAGAATCTCTAGCTTGAGCCAGGGGGTTGGAGTAGAAGATCTCCAGTGTCCATTCCAACTCTGTTATTTTGTTCATAACTTTGTGAAGGAATTTTTGCTATATTCTCTTTTTTTATTCTGCTTCATATTGACACAAACTTTTAAAGAATTGTTTTGAACCTGGACATAGGCACTCTGATGTTATATTTGATGTATAATCACAGTTACTTTGAAAGATATCTTTCTTGGATCATCTTTAACATTACAGCTGCTAGGCAAGTTATAAGTAACTGTCTGTTGCTGTCACTGTAAATTATGGGCATGCTTCTTTATCTTTTGTTTTACCCCTAAAGCATTACTTAGCTGCACCCCAAGACTTTTCCATTTTTAAAAAAATGCTCATGAGTTTTTATTCTTCATCATCATTTCTGCATATTACACTTATGGCTTGCGCACTTCTGCTAAAGCCCATTGGGAGCTTTCTATAGGTGAGAAGTTTGGAGTAACACATACACCTCAATTGCATATGTTCCCAGCTGATATACCCACACAATTCTCAGGTCCTTGTCAGCTACTACTGCAAATTTTCCATGTTTTCTGTTAAGGATAACAGAATATTAATACTTCATTTTATTTTCAGTTGTCTCTGTAATAGGAAGATAAAAACAAGTTATAGAAAGATTGGAGAAATATTGAGACTGAAGGCATTTGCTAAGAAATAAGGGGGTCCAGTTCTCTTCAGGGTTTATAGAAATATTGATGCGAGGCATTGAACATAAAGATTTTTCCACCTTATCTAAGTGTTATTTTGTAAATGTGCTTGTCATTTCAAATTACTACCTGTTGATGGTCACTTGCTCTACTTGCTGTTTGGACAAAAAGAGCAAAATTGATTTTCAAAGCTATTGCCAGACAAGCACAAATTGATTTTCCTATGTGTAGATGCTTCTTTAGAAATAAACCCTGAGGAGAACTGGACCCCCTAATTTCTTAGCAAATGCCTTCAGTCTCAATATGCCTTAGATGTTCTCCATTTTTACCTAACTGTCTTTGTTTTAGTAGTGATGTGACGTCTTGTAGTGGCTTTGCCAAACTAATCCTACTGTCCTTTCCTAACCTTCAAAAAGATTAATTTGCTTGTCTTAGGATGTTCTGTATAGTTTATTCCTTCTTGGGCCCAACGAAGTGCCAAAACAGAAAGAAACCTTACTCTCAACTGAACTTCAAATGAAGGAAGTGAACTTCTAATTGAAACTATCAGGACCAATGACTCTCAGGTTATCTCTGTGAACTGTACAGCAGAAGCCACAATATTTTGATACCGGCACTCCTGACACTACAGTTCTAAAGATGATAGGCTGACAAGGTTGCATCATTCAGATGAAACATGCAGCTATGGGTTCAGCATAATATATGGGAACTGACAACCCACACTGAATTAAAAGCAATCCAGTGAACAATCCAGGGATTCTCCGAGTTGAGATCCTCTGGATTCTTATTCTTCTATGGCTCAAATCTTTGGTAATAATGTTCAGAGATGAACATCAGTACCATTTCTCTGGACTTTCGTTATGAACAAGGGAATGGTTCCCTACCAGTTAAAGGGAAGTACAGGGACTGATTCCACATTAATGATTGTTGCATATGTTACAATACATACCACAGATATGAATTCTGGGATGCTTATTAACATCCTTCTCTCATTTTGCCTCAATGTATCTTTATCATTTGACAAACTATTTTTATACCAAGGTCAGTTCCCATCATACTTCTTTGTATTCTTATAAAGTTTGTTATAAATTTTCTGGCTCCTTCTGGTTTCTTTTATCTGCCTCTGGAGTTCCAATTTGCTACATAGTTCTGGCATCACATATAACCCCACAGGCTGATACCAAAATG